TGTATCTTTTCTGTATGTAAGTTTTTGTGTTTATTTCTTTAACAAAAACCTCGGATACTCCGCTCCAGCCATTCCTTATATCTGGACTGCTATGCTCTTGTGCATTGTGGCCTGGGTATATTTGTCTGTTACAGGTCCATTTCTGGGGGGAAGGCATTGCCCGCTTTGGGTATGAGGTAGTTTGTGTTCACATGTGTGTGATTTAAAATGGCCAACATGTGCAGGAGCATATTTAATGTCAACCATGCAGGGAGCAACTACTTGTAGTTAAGTTAATTTGTTATCTTTATAGCCATATTCCTGTGTGATTAATTACTTGATTTGAAAATAGATAAGCCGCTGAAAGATTTCTGCAGATTGGCAAGTTGGCCAAGTATCATACATTTTAGTTATTTTCTTTGATCCCACGTTTGTTATCGGGGTCCTTCATGGATTCCGTTACAATATATTGACTGTATGCAAATCACTCAATACTAAATTATTCATGAGCAGTGTACATGTATTAAAGGAAGTGCGGTTCCACCTTACAAATATATCACATCTCCTCCCCACAAATTATAACAATTATTTAAATGTTCCATGAGTCCAGATGCAAATGTGTACATGGTCTATCCTTTGAATTATTGGAGCCTGAAATAACAGTCCTGTAATCTGTTCAAAAGAACATGTACAAGAGGAAATAAAAGCTGGATCATAACCATGTCCTTGCTGGTGATGGCATTTTTTTTTTTTTTTTTTAAATTACACTCTAACTTGAACTTCCACGAACGAAAACTGTTTTTCTTCTCTGTTTAACTTTAACTACTACTTAAGTAATGACTTTGTCCATGGTTGAGAAATATAGTGGGTGTTTAAACGAAATCTATTTGGCAGTCAGCTATAGATTCAGTTTATCTGGAGGTTTGCATTTGCGTGAGGGGTAGCGGCCTTCAACAATATGTGGCCCACCTGGCGAAGTGTCTGAGGTTGATGGTGTTTTGCGAGGCAAGGTTGTTTCGCTAGGTGAGGTGAGTTCTTGCTCTGCGGGTGGTGGTGTGGGACTGTCCATTACTGGTGTCACAATCTCTTGTATGATATCGTGCGTTTCACGCATGATCAGATCTGGGGGTCTCCCTGTGTTGCAGTCGAGGAGTTGATCAACATGTTGGTGCCAGATCATGTTTGGGCCAATACAACTTCATAGGACAAACGTCCAGTGCGAGCATGTGCAACACTGGTTATCCATTTCTGCTTGCCTCAATAGTCACGAACAGAAACAGTCTGGCCAATGTGAAACTCAAGTGATGCCTGGTCTATCTGCTTGTCATTGACATGGCAGCAAATATCGGCTTTCAGGATATCCAACTGTGAACGCAGGCTTCTCCCAATTAACAGCATTGCTGGGGACTCTCCTGTTGTGCTGTGTGGGGAATTTTGGTATGCAAACGTAAAGTTAGCCAACTTGGCTGATGTAGATCCTTTCTCCCCCTCCATCAATTTCAATGCTTGTTTGATGGTTTGAACAAAGCCTTCTGTGAGGCCGTTCGTGGATGGGTGATATGGGGCAGTCGTGATGTGTTTTACCCCGTTGCGCTTTAGAAATGTCTGGAACTCCTGCGATGTGGACTGTGTGCCATTATAGCTCACATGTTGCTTTGACACTCCATTCCGTACGAAAATACCATGCAGGATTTCAATTGTTCGGGCAGAATCTGAAGATTTGGTGTCCACAACTTCAGGCCACTTGGAATGCGCATCCACTACCACCAGAAACATTTGACCAAGGAAAAGCCCAGCGTAATCAATGTGAATTCGCTGTCAAGTGTGACCAGTCGACCTATTTCTCTTATGGTCAACAGGTCCCTCAATTACACATTTTTCATTCTTTCTTCTACACACTTTTCCACTAGACTTTGATCTCGATAGAATTTGATTCCCACAACACAGCCCATCAAATACAGTGCGCCCTCGAACGGTAGTTTTCTGTAAATACATTCCATGCAACTCTACGCAAATTAACAACATGTGTACTCGTAGACAGCATTGTGAATGCCCTGCCATTCCTTGTCATACAAATTGCGTGTGTTGTTCGGCATTTTATTTTTAGCAACACTGACGCACTATTATGTATTGGCAACATGTGCACTCATAGAGGGTCTTGCAAACACCCTTCTGTGTTTTGTCAACCAAATTTTGTGTATTGTTGAACTTTTATCTTATCGACGCTGATCCACTATTATGCATTGGCCACACAGTAGTCTTCTTGGCTCGAAAATGCACATTTTTCAGGGAGAATACCTCCAAACTCCAAGGAGAACACATGTCTTTTCTGACTTCTCTGGTTTTGCCTGCGTCACACACTATTGCCACATATTCACACTCGTGGATACTGCTCCAAAATATTTTTGATGTTCAGTCATTGTAGGTTTTGTGGTGCTAGATTGTTGGCATCAGGACAGGCACAGATTGTGGAAGACTGCGTGTTTCATCCATTATACACCTGAACCTCCTTCCCTTTTTGCAGTCTTGATTGCCACTGAGTCTTCAAAATCCCTCAGTGTTGGATACTGCCACAAATTGACAGCCGTTTATTGATCTGTACAAACCGGTAGCATAACTTACATGTAATTGCTGCTGTATGCACCCAAATTGTGTAATTTTTTTGGGGGGGGGAAATCTATTTTCTAATAAAATCCTCTTCTATAAATCTGGTTGCTCACTGGGTCTTCCCTCTCTGTAGCCCTGTTGCATAACTTAAATATCTCCATCTAATCCCACTTGGTTACACATGGGGTTGTTGGCCATTCCCATGTGTGTAGTGGTGCTGACTTCGGATTGTGTTAGACTTGTTGGCAACCAGCACAATCCATGGCAAGCTGTTCTATGTTACTGTCAATGCCAGGCCACCATGCATACCCACATACTAGGGTTTTCATTTTCACAAACCCTAGGTGGCCCTCATGTAGCTCATTGAGAACCTGCTCACGTAGCTTTGATGGGATTACCACATGAGGCATCCAGCATGCAGTGAAAGTTCATTCCTGTGTGCATAGAAGGGATTGAGCTCTGTATCATGCAAATGTGGCCACCCCTTCATAGTATATTCACAAGCTTTTGGGGGGCGTGATGTCTCCTTGTGTACTTGAGAACTTGTAACTGGCATTTTCTCAAGCTGCGGTATGTGCAGAAGATCATCCCGGTCAGTGTGCTCAACCCTGACTTCAGGTACTGGCAGTCGTGAGAGTCCATCTGCATTGCAGTATTTGGTAGTACTCTTGTACTCAATCTCATAGTCGTGACTTGCAAGGAAGATGGCATATCGCACCAAACGTGATGCTGTTGTTATAGGAAGACTTTTAGCGGGGTGAAATATGGAAGTGAGCGGTTGATGATCAGTCAGCGAGGTAAGTTTCCTTCCCTGTAGATAGTCATTGAACTTCTTGACCCTCCATATGAGCACTAGGGCTTCCTTGTCAATTTGTGAGTAATTTCGCACTGCGGAGGAAAGTGTGTGGGAAGCTTCGGCGACTGGTCTCTCTGTGTTGTAGGGCATTACATGGGACATGACTGCTCCCAATCCATATGATGAGGCGAGTAGTGCACCATGTCTGTATAGAGAAAACCATGCCCTTTTTCTAGGTTTTCCTGAGTCTCTCGACCAATCAGAATGCTGGATTTTGCTGATTGACTGCCTGATTTGCATAATTTGAGGAGCCGGCCCGTACCATGTCTAGTAGGGGTTTTCAATAAGTGAGGAATGTACTTATGATTAATTAAATTGTTCTTTTGAATTCTTTTATTTTGCTGTATAGGCCTAGGTATTATATTTTCAACTTTATGCCAACAATACAAGACGGTACGAGCCGTGCAAATAAAATGTATAAAATGCTATTGTAGGATTTATGTACTTGTGCTTGTATGGACATGCTTTTCAAATCGGGCATGGTGGATTCCCTTTGAAATAAACTAGAATAGATGAAAAGTTCATGTTTGGCACAATTTGACCTTGCTTATGAAATTATGGCACAACATAATGAAATAGGATGAGTCATGTCATGTGCGATGGCACACTGACTGGTCCACCAGGAGATCCTAAGGTAATTAAGGAGTAGGGAGCGATAATACTTACACAATAGACAGCTCCTGCTGGGTAATGAGAGGGGTAATCCCTAGACAATGGACTGTACATAGTGGGTGAACTGTATGGGCAGACTATTGTGTTAATGATTACATTGTGTATGTTGGAAGTGAGCGTTGGTCCGACTTAACCTTTGGACACTAAAGGAGAGAGGGCGCCCACGGGCTAACGAGCTTGCGTTTAGCTTACTATGGCTACCAAGATTTGATTGATACGGGAAGAAGACTTTGTTGTCCCTAGCTGAATTTTTACTCCTTTGAACTAGAGTGTTTTACATCGGTTACCCTGTACAGGTATATGGTTTGGGCTATGGCAGAATTTTAAAAATTCTTTGAACGGATGTTTTATGGCGGTTTGATACCCTGTACATGTAGACGTTTTACAAATTCAGTCACAGTGGAGCGTTACTGTTGTTCTTTTTTGTGGAACCTAAATGTAAAATACAGCATTTTATAAAACTACGAATTCTTGGGGGTGGCATGACGTCAGTTGGGGATTTTTAGCACGTAGCAAAGGGTTAGATTTATTCGTCGTGATTTGGAATATTGTGCAGAAGTTCTGGCCAGTATCCGAACTGAGAATTATATTCGATAGCCATACCGATAAGTATAACACACAAAAAATTCAGTGGACTTCACATATTGGTTTTTGATAGGTTGGTACTGGTACCGTTTTGTTTCCCATTGTTCATCATTGATTTTTTTACAGTAATTATCTTAGTAATTTTAAGAATTACTACAAGGGTGATTACCGAAAGTTTGTTTACTTTGAAATCAGAGGCATTACATGTACTCATTCTTGTTGGAGCCATTTGTCTCTACAGACTGTTATCTTTTAGGCATGCTCCTCTTCATCATGAAACAGTCCGGCAAATTTTTCAGCATGTTTAGGCAAAACTCTATTCAAGGCTTTGTTGACGTTCATGCCTGTATCAAGTTTTCCATCGTTTTCCATGAAACAAATGAAATCGACTATATCTTAAATATACATGTATTTACTGCTTCTGATTTGCATATTTCATTGTTTATTGTTCACATTGGTCTTTTTATTGCTCAAACTGCTCTTTGTATTGCTCTTTTACTCGTTTTATTACTTTTTTACTCTTTTCATTGTTCAAATTGTTCTTTTTATCGTTCAAATTAATTTTTGTATGGTGTAAATTGATCTTTTCATTGTTAAAATATACTCTTTTCATTGCTCAAACGGATGTTTTATTTTTATTGTTCAAAATGAACTTTGTATTTTTCAGTTGGTCTTTTTATTGTATAAATTGGTCCTTTTAATGTATAAGTTGCTGTTTTTATTGTTCAAATTGCTCTGTTTATTGCTCAAATCGTTCTTTTTATTGCTCTTTACATTGTATCAATTGCTCTTTTTATTGTTCAAATTGGCCTTTTTATTGCAGGGGGAAGTAAACGCCAAACCTACACAGTCCAATGAGATTACCAATGAGATTTTGAAACTCGATGGGCTTTTGACGAAGTTTGCTTAGAAGACGGATTGAGTTTAATTGGACAGTCAGGATTGTAGTGCGTCTACACTTCATCAGATGTGATCAGCGACTTGGCCATTTCAAATGCCTTCTGGTAATCTGCAGACTGTGCCCATTTCCGATTCTTCTCAAGCAACTGATTGAGCGTGTGCAGTTTGGGGGCCAATTAGACTGAGGAAGGCAGGAACCTTTTTTGTCCTGTATGTTATTGGGGGTAAAGTACTGGTCTAAATGCTCCACATGTGTGCGCCAGTCTTCCACTGAACGGTCGTACGGATCGATTCAACCAATAAGGGCGTTTGTGACTACCATGATTCACTGACAGTCACACAAAACATGTAAGGCAGTATAAAGTGTATGCTACATGAGTTGACAAAGTCAATGTGCATATGTGCATACCATCGCATCAGTCGTGCGATGGGTCAAAAATTTGGCAGAAATTTTACTAACAAGCAGTATCTCCCAAGCACATGTGCACAGGGGCTGCCATACTGAGAAAACATCCTTTTCACGTACACCAGGAATAAGGTCATGCAGTGACCCTTGACATATATAGACTTTATGCAAATCTCTCAATACTAAATTATTCACGAGCAGTGTACATGTATGAAAGCCAGTGCGGTTCCACCTTACAAATATATCACATGATGTAAACTGATCATCCAGAATATTTCAATTTCTTTATTTGCTTTGTGTGTTGTAGGTATCCTTCATGCTGCTGCTGAAGTGAAAGGAGATAAATCTGTTCTCCATGATCACAGTTTCAAGGGATGAAATTCAACGTAACTGCGGTTACTTATATACATGTATATCAAAAGCATGGCTACACAAGATGAAGGAAGCTGTTGGAAACCAAGCAAGGAAAAAAACAAGGTAATTAGCGGTGACAAGGCCTGCTGTTCGTATTGACACACAAGAGATGCCCAGTTCTAATTAATTCAGTCATGAAGCAAAGAGGGGACGGGACCCATGCATGCACTAATGTAAATCGCTCACTGTGATCAACATCCATGCGTCCGATCCCCATTGTAACATTCCTACTCATATGTAGCCAAGTGACATCAAAAGTGCTTGAAATTCTGACACCTTTTAGCACAAATATTTTCCCCTTTTAGATGACACAGAAGAATGTCCACCAACACATACATGAAGGAAGTGGTGTCCCAAGTATACCAAGAGTTTTCTACAGAAGGACTTCATCAAATACCAATATTACTTGAAACAACTGCAAACAACAGTACATGAGATATACATGTGTGTGTACATGTACATGTCCCCTGCATATTTGTTCAAGATCACTGCAGAAACTGTGATCACAGGTCTCAGAAGCATTACACACAGTTTCAACATCACAAGATCCTGAAATTTTGAGTGTGTTCCCATGTCTTCTTATTTCTTCAGGGCAAATGCATAACTTTGCCAGTTTTACATAATACACAATAGTAAAATGCCTGCAAGCACAAATGCAGTTTTTCCCTTAATAATTTATAAATAAAACCGATTCTGTAACCCTGATATTTCCTTCAACCTCTGGACAAGTTTTAATGTTCAGTATTTTAAGTGTAATTCTTAACATACATGTTCAGAGTGTGGGCTGCTGTGCACTTGCAGATACAGTTTTAAAAGTAATAATTTTGTTTAATTACTTTCAATTTGGACTAAGGAAATGTACTTTAGGAAGAATAGTGTAAAATTGATGTTTGCGTATTTTTCTTCCCATCTTTGAAATTGATGTTTCTTTGTTTGTGTATACCGATACCCCTAACAGTCCCAAATCCTCTAACCTTCTAAAGCTTCTGCCATCTCTGTCAGTCAAATTTGTATGATGTGTATTATCAAAAGAGTGTAGTGGGCTCTCACTTGATGAAATTCAACACTGTGTATAAAATTGTCAAAGGGAAGTTATATTGACAAAAATTGACCTTGTAATGATAATGACATTTTACCTTTGCTGATTCCCTTCAAACCCGGCACATTGCTAGACTGCCACTTGAAGATGTATGCCGAATAATGACGTCATCATGATCTTATCTCCCGATTTATTATGGAATTTTAATATGTAATTTTTCACCATATGTTTTGTACATGTTTTTGAAGGCCGTTTTGGTACTTGGCAATCTTGCATCTCCATCAAAGTTGATCAAAGCAAAGCTTGGACACCAAAAATGTACTGAATGACGTCATCAACCAATTTATTAAAGAATTATTTGTATTTCAGTTTTCCTCATATGTTTTGGACACATTTTTTAAAGCTTTTTTGAAACTTGGTAATCTTGCATCTTCAAGTTTGACAAAGCAAAGCGTCTGACACCAACAATGTAATAAAGGAATGGCGTCATGATGATATCATCAGACATAAAATTAGTGCATAATTATGCTTAATCTTCACAGATCTACAAAAATCAACCGTGACCTAACGACAGCTATTCGATTCCCGCCCATTCCAAGTTCAGTTTTTATTAAACCAAAAGAGTTTCTCGAAACAACTCAGTGATTGTCCACTGACAAACACGGCGCCCATCTGTCTTCTTTTTTTTTTTTTCAGTTGTTTCGGTCACCGCCCAAAACAGCTTTTGTTTTTGTTACCAATTTTTTTTTTATATATATATTTTTTCTTTTGTTTTTCACTTTTTCCCCATAGACATAACACAGGGTCGTTCTACAGAGCACTTTTGGTCCTTGCTTTGGGCTGGTTTTCTTCAAACCTGGCACATCGTCCATCTCGTTTCTTCTTTTCCTTCTTCTTGTAATTGTGAAAATCCTGTTTCTTTTGTACACAGTTTTTCTTGGGACCATTTTAGTCCCCTTGCAAGGTTCAATCTTCATTGAAGTCGCCTCAAGCAAAGACCTGATGACAAAAACGTGTCTATAAGCAATGACATCGTGATGATGCCATCATCTGATTTTTTATTGAATTTTTAATATTTCTTTTTACCCATAGGTGTGTATACATTTTCAACTGCCAGAATGGCATGGACTTTACACTCTGCAAAATGAAACTTGATCCAAGCAAAGACCATGCAGCGTAAATGAACCAAGAAGCACGACGTCACTTTGACATCATGAAACAATTTATAATTAATTTTTGAATATTAATTTGTCCAATCAGCTTTGTACACATTTTCAAACCCACTGACTTTGTACACACACAGTTTATGCTTTATGCAATACATCTGTGTGCGATCCGCTGACCTGTGCGATCAGTCGATGTTAGCGTGATCGCACATTCCTATTGCATCATTTCTAGTCAGTGGGTTTGAAAATGTGTACAAAGCTGATTGGACCAATTCTTCCTCTTCTGACCAAAAGCCCATTTGTTTACTGTACTTTCTTTCCCCCATCAACTTTGGTCCTTTTGCAACTTTGGATCTTCATCAAACCTACATCAGTGAAGGACCTTAGTGCAAACATGTGCATGGAACAATGACATCATGATGGCATCATCAATGAATTTATTATTGATTTTTAATTTATATTTCAGCCCACTGACTTTGCACACGTTTACCTTTGTTAATTTAGTGATATTCAGTGGTCCTCAAAATTACACCAAGCACAAACCTTTAAACAAATATAACATTCAAATAATTACGTCGTAATGATGTCATCAAGTGATTTATTACTAAATTTGTAATATTTAAAAGTTATGTTAAAGTTTTAAAAATCCATGTAAAATCAACTGTGGCCTCCCGTAAAATTCTGTTTGTGGCAAGTGGCTGAGTAATATTTACGTACGGGTCAAATCATGTGACCCTTCCTTCTGGTTGGAACAGGAAGTGGGCTTATTGTTTAAAAGTGGTATTTAAAGTGTCAACTTATTTTCAATGTTGTTAACATATTGGGGTATAGTATCCTTTAACCACTTCCAGCCGGGGGCTCCGGTACTGGAGCCATAGGCCTTATATTTGGGGCCGGGGACTCCAAAATCAAAACTTTACTATAAAAAAAAAAAAGTTGCTGGGCGTTTCTTAAAAAGTTTGGGGCTGTCAGTTAAAAAGTTTAGGCCATCATTGGCCGGTGAATTGTGACTTTTTTATAGCAGGGGTGACCGCACTTATTTTATAGCCGGGGTGACCGAACTTATTTTATAGCCGGGGTGACCAAACTTATCAAAGTCTGGAATAAAAGTACGAGCTCCTGAGAGCTGCCGGCCACTGCCAATCAATCCCTGTATTCTTTCAGCCCAGAGCGCTGCAATTAGCGGAGATAATCCGTGTATTGTTTTGCAGAGCGCATTTGTTCGTGCTGCCGGGCGCTCGCAGGGGATTATCGCTGCACTGCACCGAAGACAAAGCGCGGGCTGTGCGGGCTCATTATGCACCTGCGCCCCATGAATGACCCAGTCCCGGCACTGCTAGCCCTTGCCACGTTGACTGACAGGGCACGGCCCTCGCTGTTTGAGAATAAAAATGCTGTGCAGTGTTCACGTGTGTTCATATTGGGTATCGTGTTATTTAGAGTACAGACAACATGGCTGAAGTTATATCTGGAGAGTATAGTTCTTCCAGTGAAAGCGAGTTTTATCTGAGTTCAGACGAAGTTTCTTCGTCTTTTTCATCACCGCCATCGCCTGCTCAAGTACAGTCAAGTACAGAAATTGACCGTGATGTACCCTTGGTGGTATATGCCAAGCGCAAGAGACAGTCCCGTACACAGACCGCCACGTCGACCAGCAGCAGTGCTGCACCATTCCGGTGGACAGATAAAGACAGTACACCGCTGAAGTACGGCTTCACCGGTAATGGTGGTGCCGTCGATCCCTGCCTGCATCGCAGCTCGACCTGCAGTGAAGCCTTTGAACTGTTTTTTGATGACGTTCTCTACAACAAGATAGTGCAAGAGAGCAACCGGTATGCCGTGCAGAGGCCTGCTACGACATCGGCGCACATGCGATCATGGACTGATCTGAACACTAAAGAACTGAAGGCCTTTCTGGGCCTTTGCCTAATGACTGGCATTGCGAAGCACCCCACCCTTCATAGCTTCTGGTCCACCGACCCACTACTGAAGATGAGCCTATTCCCGTCCATCATGCCCCGAGATCGCTTCCTTGCCATCCTGCAGTCCCTGCACTTCAATGACAACACCACCATGCAAGATGACTGCACCGACCGCCTCTTCAAAGTGCGCCCAGGGGTCGACCATCTTGCTCAGAAGTTTGCCACTGTCTACGTTCCTCAAGGGACATTTCCGTCGACGACTCCCTGCTGAAGTTTTACGGGCGTCTCCGCTTCGCTACCAACAACCCCAGAAAGAGGGCCCGCTTCGGCATCAAGATGTACAAGTTGTGCCAGAGCACCGGGAGTGCCGCCAGGTACTGCTACAACTTCAAAATCTACACCGGCCAAAGTAAAGGAGACCTCCCAGAAACTACACAAGTGGTGATGGACCTGGTGAACGACCTTAGTGGTAAGGGCTACAACCTTGCCCTCGACCGGGCCTTCAGCAGTCCCGATTTGTTTCGACGACTTCACAACCAGAAGTTCAACGTCGTCGGCACCGTCATGGGGAACAGAAAAGGGACGCTGAAAGACCTGCAGTCCGTCAAGCTGAAGCGGGGCAAAACAGCGTCCCAGTCGGCTGACCTGGGTGTCAGCGGTTTTCTCCTGGCCATGGTGTGGCGAGACAAGCGCAACATCCGTATGCTCTCCACCATGCACATGGCAGACATCCGTGGCACCAGCAAGCAAGATAGCACAGGGCAGGAAAAGCAGAAACCGACCTGTGTCATCAAGTACAACGTCCTGATGGGGGGCATTGACAAGAGCGACCAACTAGCGGCAAATCATCGAGCAACTCGTAAGTCCCTCAAGTGGTACAAGAAGCTCTTCTTCTACCTGCTCGACTTGACGCTAGTGAACAGCTACGCCGTGTACCTGGCCGTTGGTCACTGCCTCTCCTTCCTCGACTACCGCTTGAGTCTTGTCCGTGAGCTGCTGTTCGACGAGCCCTTGCCCGAGTACCGCCCTCAGCACGATACTCCACCATTCACAAACTCCCGCTTTGTCGGCTGACACTTCCCCGTGGACTTTGAGAGGACCAACTATGGCGACTTCCGCTACCGGCAGTGTGTCCTCTGCCCTTCCTGTGGTCTGCGAAAGAAGACACACTTCGAGTGCGACACGTGTCACCAGCCCCTCTGCGTCGCCCCCTGCTTCAAGGAGTGCCATACTCTCCACTAATTGACACTTTGAACATTTATTTTCATGGACATTTTCATTGACATTATACTTTGTGTTTTTAATGTGTGTTTTGACTTGATGCCCCACTTATCTAGTGTAAAACAATATGTCATTTACTGGTGGTTTCACTAGGTGGTCATAGTTTCAACCTTTGAAAAAAAGTGAC